CACCAACATAAATGCCGACTATACAAATGGACATCACCAGATGGAATACACAGGAATCAAATCGACCACATCTGTGGAAAGAGACGATGGTAAAGCTCAATATCGTCAGTCAGAATAAGGTCAGAGGTCAACTGCGGAACACACCATCAACTGCTCACATACAAGTTCAAGCTGAAGTTGAAGAAAATTAGAACGAGTCCACGAGAGCCAACGTATGACCTTGAGTATGCTCCACCTGAATTTAGAGACCATCTCAAGTCTAGATTTTGATGCACTGAACACTAATGACCAAACACCAGACAAGCTGTGGAATGACATCAAGGACATCATACATAACAAAAGCAACAGGTCACTGAAAAGACAGGAAAGAAAAGATCAAAACAGATGTCAGAAGAGACTCTGAAGCTTGCTGTTGAACGTAGAATAGCTAAAGTGAAAGGAAGAAATATTTCAAAGGGCAGCTCAAGAAGACAAAGTAAAGTACTATAATGAAACGTGCAAAGACCTGGAGTGGGAAAACCAAAAGTGAAGAACGCGCTCAGCACTTCTCAAGCTGAAAGAACTGAAGAAAAAACTCAAGCCTCGAGTTGCAGTATTGAAGGATTCTATGCAGAAGATATTGAACAATGCAGGAAGCACCAAAAGAAGGTGGAAGGGATACACAGAGTCACTGTACCAAAAAGAACTGGTTGACGTTCAACCATTTCAGTAGGTAGCGTATGATCAGGTACTAAAGGAAGAACAAGCTGTACTGAAGGCATTAACAAAAGCGAGGCTCTAGGAATTGACAGACTACCAACTGAGATGTTCCAACAAACGGATGCAGTGCTAGAAGTACTTGTCTATGCCAAGAACTTTGGAAGACAGCTACCTGGTCTACTGACTGGAAGAGATCCATATTTGTGCCCATTCCAAAGAAAGGGGATCCAACAGAATGCGGAAATTATGGAACAATATCAATATTACACACAAGTAAAACTTTGCTAAAGATCATCCAAAAGCACTTGTAGCAGTACACTAACAGGAAACTGCCAGAAGTTCAAGCAGGATTCAGAAGAGGACGTGGAGTGAAGGATATCATTGCTTAAGACAGATGGATCATAGCTGAAGGCAGAGAATACTAGAAAGATGTTCACCTGTGTTTGACTATGCAAAGGCATTCGACTATGTGGATCATAACAAATTATGGATACCACTGCAAAGAATGGGAATTCCAGAACACTTAATTGTGCCCACGAAGAACCTGTACATAGACCAAGAGGCAGTCATTCAAACAGAACAAGGGGATACTGTATGGTTTAAAGTCAGTAAAGGTGTGTATCAGGGTTGTGTCCTTTCACCACACTTATTCAATCTGTATGTTGAGCAAATAATCCCAGAAGCTGGACTATATGAAGAACGGGGCGTCAGGATTGGAGGAAGACTCATTAATAACCTGCGATATGCAGACGACATAACCTTGCTTGCTGAAAGTGAAGAGGACTTGAAGCACTTACTGATGAATATCGAAGACCACAGCCTTCAGTATTGATTACTTCTCAACATAAAGAAAACAAAAATCCTCAAAACTAGACCAACAAGCAACATCATGATAAATGGACAGAAGATTGAAGTGTCAAGGATTTCATTTTACTTGGATCCACAGTCAATGCCCGTGGAAGCAGCAGTCAAGAAATCAAAGGAATCATCACATTGGGCAAATCTGCTGCAAAAGACCTCTGTAAAGTGTTAAAAAAAAAAAAAAAAAAAAAGCAAACATGTCACTTCAAGGAGTAAGGTGCACCTGAAATAAGCCATGGTGTTTTCAACCGCCTCATATGCATGTGAAAGCTGGACAACAAATAAGGAAGACTGTCTTTGAATTATGGTGTTGTGAAAGAATATTGACTCTACCATGGACTGCCAGAAGAACTAACAAATCTGTCTTGGAAGAAGTACAACCAGAATGCTCCTTGGAAGCAAGGATGGCAAGACTTCGTCTCGCATACTTTGGACATGTTATCAGGAGGGATCAGTCCCTGGTGAAGGACATCATGCTTGGTGAAGTAGATGGTCAGCAAAAAAGAGGAAGACCCTCAATGAGATGGATTGACACAGTGGCTGCAACAATGGGCTCAAGCATAACAACGATCATGAGGATGGCACAGGACCAGGCAGTGTTTTGCTCTGTTGTACATAGGGTCACTATGAGTCAGAACCGACTTGACGGCACCTAACAACAATAATTGAACATTTTGTAAGCAAAAAGTATGAGGGGGCGATAGATAAAGCCTTGCTAAGTATAAAAGAAGGTAAGTCTTTTGGGAAGTAAAATGAAAGAGCAAAAATGGGAATATAAAAATACGTAGTTTACAAGTATGTTTGTTCATATATTTTTAAAATAGATGTTAGTAGGTAGAAAAACTGTATTCAGGGTCTACTGTATACTTCTATGCATATTTATAATGGCATTTCCTCCTCTCTCCCTCACTTTTCCTTCTCCCTCCATCCAAACTACTTGATCTACCAAATAAACTATGTATACTCAAGTCTTTGTCTCAGGCTCCACTTTCAGGGGGTACCCAAAGATAATAGGTAACAATGGATTAGTTTTTAAATATTCCTTTAGATAGAGCACAGTAAAAATCTAAAGGGCAATGTTTTAGTTAACATACATCATCTTTCTCGAAAGTCCTGCCACCCAAAAGTCTAGTGATCTTTCCCTTCTTTTGCCCCCTTAACTCCTTCTACTCTTTGATAGCACCTATCTCACTGAAAAATATTTGTTGTGTTTCCATCAGCCTGTAGATAGGGATCCTATGAAGATTCATTCCATATCCAGCCCCAGTGACAGAGCTTAATGGCTGGCACACAGACAGCACTCAATATTTCTACTCAGTTCAACTTTCAATTTAATAAATTATTAATAAGAGCTTCTAGGTACTTTGCTTCACTTAACTCTCAAAACAAGGCTCTAAGCTGTTGTTGTTGTTAGGTGCCGTGAGTCGGTTCTGACTCATAGTGACCCTATGTACTACAGAACGAAGCACTGCCGGGTCCTGCACCATCCTCATGATCGTTGTTATGCTTGAGCCCACTGTTGCAGCCACTGTGTTAATCCATCTCATTCAGTCTTCCTCTTTTTTGCTGACCCTGTACTTTATCAAGCATGATGTCCTTCTGCAGGGACTGACCCCTTCTGATAACAGGTCCAAAGTATGTAAGACAGTCTCGCCATCCTTGCTTCTAAGGAGCATTCTGGTTGTACTTCTTCCAAGACACATTTGTTCATTCTTTTGGCAGTCCATGGTGTATTCAATATTCTTCGCCAACACCACAATTCAAAGGCGTCCATTCTTCTTTGGTCTTCCTTATTCATTGTCCAGTTTTCCCATGCATATGATGCAACTGAAAATACCATGGCTTGGGCCAGGCACGCCTTTGTCTTCAAGGTGACATCTTTGCTTTTCAACACTTTGAAGAGGTCTTTTGCAGCAGATTTGGCCAATGCAATGCATCTTTTGATTTCTTGACTGCTGCCTCCATGGATGTTGATGGTGGATGCAAGTAAAATGAAAGGTTCTAAGTTAGGTAGTGAAAATTTGAGTACAGGATTGCAAAGTTCATGCCTGTTCCACCATACCTAATTATTATTCACTGATTAGTTTCTCTATACTTTAGTGCAATGCAGCATCCCATAAGAGGCCTTCTGAAAGGATTGCTTCTATTAGGAAGAGAAATTGAAGCTTGAGGGATTGTCTGCATCTATAGAGACACAACAAACAAAGATTTTCCAGAAGATGGACACAAATATGAAGGCAGGAGACGGAAACCAGCATAGTCTCTGCAACAGTGAGGCCACATTTAAATGAAGTTAAGAATGGGTTAGACAGATTTAAAAAGATTCAGATTACAGACTTGGCTTGAAATAGGAGTCAGTGGAGGTTTCAGAGAAAAATACTGGTATGACAACAGTTGAAGGACACATGCTGAAGAACATGAAACTGAATTTGCATCCTGAACTTGCCACTTCCCAGTATCTTATCCAGGACAACTTACTAAATGCCTCTAAACCTCAGCTTCCTCATCTAGAAAATGACCCCGTTTTACCTTCTTTGCAAAAGAATTACATTACTGCAGATAACACGTACAAAACCTGGCACACTGCAAGCACTCGTTAAATGTTCATGTTCTAGTCTGTCAGTGACGATTTTGATGGACTAAAAGGAAGACGAGGCAGAATTAGAGTCCAGTAGTACCACCCCATGACATTAGTTCATGAAAAGTGATGGACTACCAATGGTACTGAGAAAGAGGAAGATGGTATCATCCACTTTGAGGAGCCACCTCATCTAGTGATGAGATGGATCTGAGTCAAGTGTTTCAAGGGTGGGTTCTCAGGGTAATGTTATTATCAGACACAGTGAAGTTGTCAGGAAGTGCAATGTTCTGGAGGGAAAATGGTGTGCTTCATTTTGAACTTGTGGAATATGAACATATGAGACGAAATAAGTCAGTGGAAATACGATCGGTGTTAGGGTAAGGGGTTTTACCTAAAATTTTGAGAATGAGTGAGTTACTTTAAGGAAAAAGTGCATTACTGTTAAGTTTGAAAGTCAGTCAGTAAAACCATAAACAAGTATGAGGAAGTACAAGTAAGAGGAATCCCTCCACACCAATGCTCATTCTAGTCTGTCTTGTGGCAAATGAAACACTGATTTTTCAAGAACCACCCTATCTAGTTTATTGCTCATATTTAAATACACATACACTTAGATTTTCTAAGTAAGACTAAATAAAAAGAAAGTCAGCTCATTTGAAATCTCTCACTATGCTCTGGACTTACTTCTCAGAAACCAATTCATTCTCTTAAAGAAGGAAAAGGTCAACTAGTAAGTTGGCTGAAAGGCTTCAACCAACTGTTGATACACTATATTAAGTGGGTATGTGCATGCAACTAACTTGATATGGATTTACTTTAAAAATCTAAATTAAAAATTCAGACTTCCGATTCATATACATATTAAACAGAGAAAAACTTTCAGTAATTATTAATGGAACTTTCAGTTTGTTGTCTGCTAACACAAACTGATAGAATTTTAAGACTGCAAGAACAATTGTACATGTGGTCATCAGGGACTGAGATGAGTATTACTGGGTATAAAGGGTCTTCTGTGTATGACAGAATCTAGTCAACAGCCCTATTGATAACTTAAGAATGCTATTTGCTTCATTTCTGGGAAAAGAAGACATAAATTCAATGTTAAGAATTTAGCCACAGTAAGGAAAACATGAGAGCCATTATTGTTAAACACAAAAGAAAGACGTTAAGTTTGAAATATAGACATTAGCAAATTTACTCCACACATGGAATAAAGGCACTATTTCTTTTTACTTTAATACGCAAATTTAAGCCAACTACCCCCACAATATCACTTCTGTGAAAGCTTTTCATTTATCTGTACGATCTTTATGACAAAGTTAATGCATCACAAGTAAATACACAGGACTGTATTTTATGTTTGTCTATCTTCGGCGCATTTGTCAAGGTGGAGAAACTCGAAAGGCAATAAAGATTTGTGTTAACTGTTTTGCACATTCTTTTAATCATCTTTACATCAAAATATAAGGCCGCAAAAAGGCAAGATGAAATTTTGGGATATGTGGAATAGTTTTAATAAAGAGTTTTACATACAGTACATTACATATAGGACAGTGTGTTTGCAAATTTAAATAATATCTGAATGTACAGTGGCATGTATTCTTACCAAAGATAAATTCAAGTTTACTGTCTATCAGTTCTAAAACGCATTTATACAGACTGCAAGAACTGATAAACAGAATGAGGCATAAAATATTCAAGTGTTATATGTCATCAAATAGCCTCCTAAGTCTTTTTTCCCCGTTTAAAAAAATTTCAAAACCTGTACATACATTTTTAATTTTTAAAAACGGTCTGTTAAAAGGTAACATTTCATGTTAACCACCAATTCTTATAGTCTATAGTAATAAAACTAGATATGTGTAGATATAAATATGTGCAGATTATGTACATATGTACGTTGAGTGTTTGTTTAAAACAAGCATACACACTTACGCAGACATGCGTACAGGGCACCGGGGACACACAACTCACGTGAGCACTGGCAGACGGCAGGACCTAGGCTCAAAATCCAGCAAGAGCTAACACGGCAACTTAGTTGCCTTTGGTTTCAGAAATTTGTCCATTTGTGACCAATGCTAAAGGTGTTGAGTGTGCGTGTATTTTTTAAAAATAAAATTCATCTTCACCAATGAAGCTTTTCCAGTATTCTACTACTAGCAGTTAAAAAATCCACAGCCACAAATTATTTTGATATTCTTGTCACTCCTCATCCCAGCTGAGGTTGTTTATATTTTTCTGAAGGCAAACACCAAGCATACTCAGGATCAAACTGTATGTTGAAGCCTGAACACTGCAATTCAACTATATATATATATATATGTATTATATATATATATATATATATATATATATATAAAATACTATATTATACACATGACATATGTTTTTGATGGACTGATGGCATTATGTAAGACTTGGGGGTGGGAGAACTCCCACAAGATTTAAAATTCTCTTCCCAGCAGTATCATCATCATTTGGCACATGTGAGCCTTCTAGAAGCCATTTTATTTTTAATGAGCTTAATGCCTGCAGTAAGTTCCAATTATCTGGTGATTGTTTTTCAAATGTATTCATAATGAAGTAAGACTTCCACAAGTGTGTTCCCCAGGAGTGAGAGCTCTACCGTCAGTTTTCTGATGAAGGACAGTCATCACCCAAGACACAGCACATGATCCTATAAAAGTTTAAATACCCTCAACTTCTGTGCAGCGGGATCAGTCCCAGAGGAGACTTCTTATAGCAACCTTGTACAACTCTTCAGAATTGGAATTTCCTCTACAATTTTGTTTTTGGCCAAATGCTGGTTTATAAATCTGAAATCTGTCTACTAAGAACTATATAAATACACCATATTTCTTTCTACAGATATCTCAAGCTTCATGTAAGCAACTATTCAAAAATCCTGCCAACTCAATTCTCTTAGCATAGATTATATTCTACCTCACTGATCCTTGGCATTTAAGCACATCACCATTTGCAGCTTTGCTCATGGAATTTTTGTTTCATATTAGCTTTCTTGATAAAGTTGTTTTTCATTTTCCTTTCTAAGGTGTCATCCTAGTGATGTTACAAATCAGTAAATGACAAGCACTACTAAGCTTCTGAACGATCCACTTAGCGATCATGTGGATAATAAAAATGACTGGACAGGAGAGCCGCCTTCTTTTCATTAAGTTCTCACTGTTGTCATACAGAGCACAGAGTTGCTATTTGTTGTACTTTGCCCATGTCAATTAGTAGCTGTTTTATGTGGCGTTTAAGTTGTGGCAGTCTTGCAAGAGGGTCTGGTGGCTCCAACTCCCCTGTGAAATCAAGCCAGCTCTCCAGAACTAAAAGAGAGAAGAGAACAAATTTAAATGAGAACTGGAAGAAGAGTCACCAAACGAAATACTTAGAAGGGTGGGAATGTGGTGGAGACAAGAGGTCACCTCCCTGTCTTTAGAAGGCCAGCAGACTCCAGTCATTTCTGAGAGAGTTAGCAGCCTTTATATCCTGCCCAAAGAGTCCTAGTTCCTTTTGGTAACCCTGATCTGTTACATAGTCCTTTCCTTTACACAGGTTAACTAACTTTATTTTGAATGTCTCTCTGCCCTGGAATGGGAAACAAGAGTTCTCTCTGCCTGCTCCAGCTTTCTATTAATTTAGACTTAAATACCTCTACTTTATGTCAAATGGTACTTAGCTACTCTATTTTTTTTTTTAACCAGAAGTTCTTTTGAACAAAGGAAAGGAAGCAGCAATTTCTCTATGTCACTTTCAGTTCCACTATTTTATCATTACTCATGGAAAATATGTGAGCATATTAAAATTCTATGCAGAATGCAATTAATTATGCTCTACACTTCCTTCCGAAATCTATCCTAATAATAGGAGATAGTCCGGTTGCGTTTCTTTTCTTCAAAAATCTACTCAGAACTTTAACTCTACAGTTAGCTTATAATCAAATGGGAGATGCTTCTGACGCGGGTTTCCATTTCCTCTCTTGTCTATATATATCAGGGGCAAAATGCAGTAGGAGCTCTAACTTAGTGAAGCAGAGAGGCACCACCTGCTTCTGCAAACAATTAAAAAAAGAGAGAATATTGTCTGAGATTAGGAGGAAAAAGCAGTGAGAAAGCATAGGAAGAACAACGCGTGAGGAATCAGGTCATCTAAGTTACTCAATTTTCTCAACTGAAAAACGGGGATATCTTTTCATGCCTTCTTTCAGGGCTCCTGTGAGATGATAAAATTAAAAAATATAAAAGAAGGCCAATTGAAAAAACTTATGCAAACATAAGGTTTACTTACTTAAACTTGTAGTTTTTCTGTTAATTTTACTTAAGTACTGACCAAAGTGAAAACAAATACTCAAAATACTTTTTCCTCTATATTCTGAATATGTGTAAAGTCCTTATGCTGATTTCCAAAGAAAGTACAGTTCAATAAAACTAATGAAGTGCTTAATAAATAATACACCTTAAAAAAAAAAAAGCCTGAGCTGACGCCCAGTCATACTGTCATGAGACGATGACACTAAAGACCTCACGAGCCACCTGTGTTAAACACAATGTAAAGGGCCGATGAAGACCCATCAGTATGGAGAGCATCTGTCCTTCTCATCCCATCATTTAAAATAACTTCTCCATGACAACACTAAATGCACTACAATCACTGTATTTGTAGTTCTTTCTTAAATTACCATCAACTTCTTTTTCTATTAGGTCCATCCTGCTGGTAACTTCCTTCTGCACATTTTCTATGTGTGTGAGGAGATTGAGCTGCCATTGAAGATGGGAGTCTCCTGGGTCTTCAGTGCCCTTTTTATCATTATAAACAAATACTGTATTCCCTTCAGCTGGATTCTTCTCCAAAGGACCATTGGAAAAAACATAAAGAGTTGGATGAAATGCAATGTCATAAAGGGAAAGATACATTAGAAACCTCATCACTCACAATGATCGGGGAAATCCAGTCTAACTCCTAGAATAATTTTAAAGGAAGTGCTGCGGGTTCCTAATGGTTCCTAATCAAATTTCATCTGACGGTCCTAAAGAGGAGACATGTCTGCTATGTCTCCCCACCATGCCTAGACCGAGTGGGAGGCATTCAGTGAAAGTGCTAAACAAATGAAGTCACTAATGATATTCCATAGTCAGATCACCCAGCTAGTTTACACTGAATCTTGACGTAGATGGAGTCAGGGCGAAGCGATGATGGAAAAATCAAGGAGGTTGGCAATGACCACTAAAAAGTCTAACTGTAGGCTGGAATGGTTGAATATGATGTAGTTAAATCAATGAGGTGAAGAAGGAAAACTAAAAATATTTTAAGATCTTCAAAAGTGCAAACTGCTTAACATACAAACACAAAATCTGAACTTGCGTTTGTCGGAGATAATTTCATAAAAGGGATATTAATTTGAAAAAAACAATTTGCAGAAAATTTAGTAAAATATAAGCTTCCTAAATTCAGTTAAGTATTTATTTATAGTGATTACTTAACTTGATAAGGAGGCCAGGAAAATAAAGCACTAATTTTAAAGTGGCACCGCTAATTGAGAATCAATAAAAAATGAAGGCACAGCATCTCTAAGATAATCAAAGTGAATAGGAAATAAGCTTCTAAATATTCAATGTACACTGAGTTGTAAGAATTCAGCTTACTGCATAATGGGACTGAAACGCATTTATAAACACTATTAAAATCAAAAGACAAACAGAGTGCCATCTTTTATCTAAAACACAAAAAACAAAGACAAATTACATCAAAATGAAAAATGCACTTTCATTTCCTCACACATAGAAATTTTACTTGGAATAAAATGTGACTCACATTTTTTTGAGGCATCTAAGACTGCTTATAAAATTGGAATTTTTATTAGGGCAAAAGTTTCTTGAACTACTACAATTCTGAGATAATTAAATGTCCAAATGGTCAGTGTTTTCTTGTACAGAAATTTAAAAAAAAAAAGTCTTTACCCCAAGGGTACTTGTGAACTTGGAAATACACAAAACCTGGGAATTCATTAAGTTTTATTTTATAAAACTTTCCTTCGTTGTTCTATCATATTCTTCCAAGCAAAGACAAATGAACCAGTTTTACCTTTTCTGGCATTCCATCTTCCTTTACTGAGAACTGTAAACGGTTTTTCTCTCTCATGTGAAATTCTTGTTCGTCTTCAAAACTACTGACATCATCATCATCTGAGCTCCCAGGATCTGCAAGAGACTTGCAGTCCTGACCGAAACTCTGGGGCTTCTGGTAGCTGTGCTCACTTGTTATGTAAGTTCCTTCCATTTTCGGGGGCAAACAAGGTGGTTCTTTATGGTTCTGAACATGATATGTCTTTTCTTCTAGATTAACCATGCCTTGCACTGTCATTTTTTTCTCTACCCCAGCAATTACTTGATCTTGGTCTTTTCGCTTCCCAGAACAAGCCCAGAGATGAAGGTCAGGATGATGTTTATTCCTGAAAACAGTGTTAGAGAACCAGCAGTTCATAATAAAAATCCAGTCACAAGCTGAATACCATAATAAAATCTAGAATGCAAAATTATACACAGCTGACTTCTGATCATGCATGACTTAGTACATATGCTGAGGGTACCTGACTCAGACTGGCTTCCCTCCAACTCTCTCCTCAGGACCTGGACTGCCCACAAGGGAACCAGGTTAGGGAGCAGTCAGGGGCTCAAATAAAAGCAAAGATATTCTGGAGCTTAGCTCACCCAGTATTTCATCTGAAATCAGAATTCTCACAATTCTAAAGACAGAAAAGCAAAAATGAACTTAATTCTGTTGATAATTCACATCATTATTTGATATTTGTTCTTTCTGTACCAATTTTTCTGCTTCAGTGTTTTTAAAATTTTAAGATGTGAAAAGACTTTTATGTGAGCATATTTTAAAACATTTTTTCAATCACGAAGTGATACTCATGACAAAACTTCAGACTGTAACACAGTACAAAGCAAAAACTTTCTCTGTGGTAATCATAAACAACGGAGGTTTAATCTTCCAGACTTTTTCTATGCAAATAAAATTATTTTTAAAATAGATAAGCACACATTTTTTTTTCTTTTTACACAGATGGGGCTCGTACTATAGATCCAGTTTGCCTTCTTCATACATAATATGTTCTAGGCATCTTGCCACATAGACATACAGATCTCCCTCATTCTTATTCTAATGGCTGAATAGTGTTAACGTGCCCCAGTCTAGTCTAACCAACCAATTCCCCATGGATGGACGTGTGTGTGTGTGTGT